GGGGGGAGAGGGGGTGGGGGGGGGGGGGGGGGGGGGGAGTAGCAGACTTTTGCTTTAAATTTCATTCGACTATTGTTAGGAAGAAACGGATGAGGTGTTAGGAAACTATAAGTCGGTCGAATGACAACGAGCGACAAGCGTATACTTAAAAAGAAAGGAGATAGATAGATAGATATAGTGAGAGAGTGTGTGGTGGGCGGTGGCGGGGTCTCGATACGACTAGAGTGCCAAAAGTGTTCAATCCTCCACACGAATAACGGCATCTAATCGTCTAATCGTGGCGAGCCCATAAAAAAGCATAACCGAATGGTTGGTTCTTCCTCGCAGACGCGGACATGGCCGGCGAGGACACGGAGCTCTGTGGCTTCATGGACGCAAAACTGCCCGGTGGCCGCTGCATGAGCCAGCGGGTGAAAAAGCGCTCACTGGCCCCGTGGAAGGTGTGGCGCCGACACTGGTGCTCGGTACGTAAGCTCGGACCGGGCCTCGGGATCGAGCTCCTCCTTGATTACGGAGTGGGCAGCAACGTGGGCCCGGCGAGCGCCGACAAGGACAACTGCATTAGGATACCGGCCAACGCTATTGTCTGCCGCACAGAGTCGCGCACCAAGCAATTCGCCTTCGGGGTTTTTCCGGCGAAGGAGCGCAAGCCCCTCGTCTACCTGGCGGCCAACTCCGAGAGCGAGTCCCAGCGCTGGATGGCGAGCCTGCGCCAGCTGCTCAGACCGAGGCGGCACCGCTTCATGGACGGCACCTTTAATGTCTCGATGGTCGATAACGCACACTCGAGATCAGCCGGACTGACTGGTAAGAATTAGCGCGGCCCTGACGACGGCCTGGCGTTATGGGCGGGGTGGTGAATGGCGCGGGGCGGGGGGGGGGGGTTCCGTTTTAACGATGACGGCACGGAGGCGTCGCGCAAGCAAGCAAACACGCCCGCAGAGTCCTAAGTCCTTAAGATCCGACAGGGACTCTCGACTGGCAGGCATTAGGAAATTAATCGCGAAGGGATTATCGCACGGACGAGCGTGTCTCGGGGCATTTGTTGGCCGGATGATGTTTTGGGAGACGGCCAATGCCGCCTGTCACGGATCCTACCTTTGCTCGAGCCAGCTTATTGCGCCTTCGATTAAAATGTTAGTGCCTTTGTGACATTGAGTGCGAATGTCCATCGGCTTATTCGCCGTGACGTAATCCCCTCCCCTCCCCCCAGCCCAACCACCAAACAATTTCGCGTCATTAGCTACGACTCCTTGAATTTTAAACGGCAATATGTCACATTACGCGTTTTCCACTCGAGCCTGCTAAATTTGTGATTTCTGTCTGTGATTAGAATGGAATTTACGACGGAAATTTTTTTTTTATTTATTTATTTATTTTTTTTTTTAATAATCATCTACCCAGCTCCATACTCCATACTCGACCCATAACTCCATACCATCACTCCGTAATAGCCCGTAGGCTATTAAAATACCATGCCACGGTTTTCTATGCCTTTATGAAGCTTATTGAAAGCCGTCGTTCCTATTTACAAAGATTTTTAATTGGAAATGGCTGGGAGAGAGAGAGCGTCGGGAAACCGGAAATATATACGTAATACATTGTACGTGATGAAATAAAAAAATAAGTATAAAAGAATAAAGTGCTGGTATGAATATATATATATATATATATATATATATATATATATATATATATAGAAAGAAAAAAAATGGCCTGTTTAACGCACTTTTTTTTGATATATATATATATATATATATATATATATATATATATATATAGAAAGAAAAAAAATGGCCTGTTTAACGAACTTTAGTTTGACTTTAGTTTATTCCTTGATAAAATGTGCCGACTAAAAAATGTAGGAGAAGGGGACTAATCGAATGTTGTATTTATTTATTTATTTTTTTTTTTATTCTTTAAAACGATATTAAGGTGACAGTAAGATTGAAAAGTAAGGCCGATTTTAAAGACGTTTGTTTATTTACGAAGCTAAGTCGATTGACGAAAAAAAAAAAAAAAAGAAAGAAAAAAATGCCGTGACAACGTCTAGAAGCGAACTCGGATAGCTTATTGATCGCGACATGTTTCGCAGGACTGTATGGGGACTTGGTGGCCAGCCGCACCGGTATCTTTGTGAAGGACGTGCACACGGGCGACATCGTGGAGACGATCGATTGGAAGGAGACGAGCCAGTTTCACCTGTCGAGCTCCGGCCGTCCGGAGGATGTGAAGCGTGTCTGCGTAATTCACACGACGAAGGCCTTCCGCGGCGGTATCGGCGAGCTCCACGTGTTCTGTTTGAACGCGCCCCGTCTGCTCCAGGACCTGGTGACGCAGGGTCGCGGACCCCGACACAAGCATCTCGCCCAGCGTCCGCTCAGCCTCAGCGAGGGCGACCTGAGACTTGCCGTCCAACCCGGCACCGACTGCAGCGACCGCGGTCTCGAGGTTCTCAAGCGCAAGATCACGACGGTGAACATCGTCAATAATGGCCTTGGACTCCTGCTGTCGACAAGGTCCGGAAGCGAGGCCAAGCTCCTCGGCGACATTGTCGTTAACAACGGTAAGGATATTATTAGTACGCTTGCCTAATTGCCGACATTCCCATAAATTCCTTATCGCCGTCGCGCGACACTCGTCCCCCCATTTACCATCGACATCCTATAAAAGTGCTCGGCCAGCTAGTGTGCGTGGCCAGCTAGTATCGTGCTAAACGGCTGGAGCAGCCAGTGGTAGAGAACGCGCGGAGACTTATCGGTTCTCCACGCGGTGCGCGCGACATTTGACAGGAACAGGCCGCGTGTTTATAAAGTGCCTGAACGTCGAGAATCGCCTGCATTTATTAATCGTACGCTTCTCTTCTCCTGCGAGCAGGGACGCTCGAGAAAATGACGTCAAAAATGGCAATGCACAAGCGCGCCGTGGACAACGTGTACCAACCGGAGCCGGCCGCCATTAATAATGTGATGTCGAGCCTCGAGGAGCTGGAGGAACCTTCCTCGAGGCGCGTCTCGAACATATCCGTGGCCTCGGGCATCTACGAGGAGATCCTCGATGATTTCGTGGCACCGAGGACGCGCAGAGTGCCGTCGAACCTATACGAGGACCCGGAGGAGCTCATATTGAACTCATCCGTCAAGCTCCAGCCGCCGCCGCTGCCGCCCCGACAAAGACGCGAATCTGGATCAGTGCGAAATGGAAGGTTGGTAGAAGTTTAAGAATTAAAAATTCTTATATTCAATGAAATTGAAGAGCGACAAAGTGGCCAATTTTGATAATTGAATTACATAGTGTTTGTCGTGGTTAGAGCCGAGTAATTAACGCGTGCTTTGATAAGTCTTGGTTGCTTCTTATCGAAGGATATTTTTTTCGCTATATTGATTGTCAATGTTAATATCCTGAAGAATATCCTTCGAATGAAATATAAATGAACTTTTTATTGACGATAATTGTGTATAGCATTAGCGACGACGGTTTGGACTCGGAGGGCGGCACTCGATCAGCGACGCCCAACACGCAGGAGGACACAACGCCAACGCCCGAGGAGAAGGTATCCGTGTCGAATCGCATCCTCGAGGACACTTCGGATTACGTGCCAATGTCGCCACGCCTGCAGGACATTGCACTGCACGAGCTACAGCAGCAAGCGCAACAAGAGAACTTGTACATGGTGATGCGATAAGCGATGAAGAATGTCCATGACTGTCTCGGACGGGAATTGACGATCACAGAGACCCGATAGCTTCGCGCTGTATTAGGCAAAGGAGAAATATATGTGTATTGATGTGAGGTACTTTCATGGAAGCACAGGGCTACTAAGCCCTCGAGCGATTGGGCAAGCGGAGTAGGAAATTATTTATTTTTGTCTTCCGAAGAAAGAGTAATGAGCGTTTGAAAGGAATATTGCACGATAATGGGGGAGGAGCAAATTCAAATTATAGACATTTAATATTTATAAAAGCGAGGAAGCTGAGAGTGATGAGTGTTTTCATTTTGAAGTATTATTGGAGTGCTCGATGAAGGTGTCCGTTTTCTTTCTCGTAATGCCAAACGCACTTTACGAGTAATATTAGCGAAATTAGCGTATAATTAATAAGTAAGGTTGTCCTAAGGTTCGGAGTTTCATACGTCAGGTTGCATGTAAGGACAGTGGATCCGTTTGCTCGAAGACTTTTTCTTTTTTTTATATTTATTTTTCTTTTCTCTTTTAAAGAAAACTGGCGTATGATTTAATTAATGTACTTTACCATTTTCGTCTTTTTTAAATTAAATTCTTTTATTTATACCGGATGTGTGGACGTCGAGTCCATGAATTTGATAGGATAATAAGGGGGGCCGTCAGGTTCATAAGTATCGCACAAAAGTATATCGTAAGTGTCACTCAGTGATGGAAGAATGTTTTAATACTGGCACTCAGTGTGTTACCGAGTGCTGCTTAAATAATGTAATAAGTCCATGATTTTTATTCGTATTTATGCTATAATGACGAAATAGAAATTACATCGAGGCAAAAATAATTGCATACCAATAATGAAATATTTGTTTTTACTTATGAAACGGGCATTGAACGTTTTAACTTTATTTACTAATATTATATTCGTTTACGTAATTTTTAATCCTTAAATTTTATCTTAAGATGCGCACCTCGGCTTATCAATAAAATATTATTTCATTGATAAAATCGTGTGCAGTATTTGTTCTGGTAAAATTTACCAGTTACTTATATATATGTTTTAATGTTTAAATAAATATAACTTTGCAGCGATGAAAGCTCTGTATAAGCCATGTGACCAATATATCATTATACTCTCTGTGTTCTTTTCACAAGCGAAAAATTGAGCGAATGCCATTTGATAAAATATATTCCATAGATAAGTCTTCTACTTTCCTATTTCAGAACGAACATGTACAAACTCTTGTGATAAAATGCATAATTTCTATTTCTATATTGAAAAAACTTTTCAAAAAAAAAGCCGGCATTGGTAGTTTCTGCATAAGGAAACGAACGACCATTGTCTTGCTGTGTGCCTCAAAATTTCTGTTTTTACAGAAGTAAAGTAAAGGTTGTTATGTACAAGCTTGTTAAAAATTTTGGACAGTTATTATTCTGTTGCACATATTAACGATTATTTGACGAGGAAACGTGAGGAAACGTGTTAAAATTATGCGAAAATGAAAAAAGAATCGAGTGTTGCTTATGTTGCTTAGTATTTATTTACATATAATTATATGGCTATGTGTGTGAATATATGCTAAGAAACAAGTTTTTTTCGAGGAATGTATTGGTATAAATAATTTGGGCATTTATAGTATTATAATTGTAAGATTTTTATAATATTGATAGTTAATTGTCCTTTCGTTTGAATTAGCTTATAAGAAGTTTAAACTGTAGGCTCGACTAGACTTTTTAAGTATAGCTTTATCAAGTTCTTGTTCAATGTACTAAAAGAAAATTGTGATAAATCGAATATCATTTTAAATTAAGGTTGATTGAATTAATTTAGCTGAATGCGATAATTTACTAAGATTTTATGTAGCTCGCTTGAATATTTTGGGTTAGCATATAATGCTAACTCTTGTTGTTTCCAAATAATGGATTTTAATAAAATTTCTTAAAAATTCACCCTTGTCGTTTACTAAGCCCTTAGCTATAGATGTTGAAAATTTAATCGAGGTAATTAATTCTTAATAAAACATTCGGCGCAAGCATGCAAGCGATTATAAAAATAAATGATAATGTATAAAATTTTGTGTAGAAATTACTTTACGCTATTAGATATAAATAAGCATACACAATAGAGGCAATAATATAACAATTGTCAATTTCAGTCGTTGCTTCTTTCATACTCTAAGAGCAGCTTTTTCGCCTTTCTTTCGTATTCTTTCTTATTGAAGCGATATTCTTCAGCTATATCGACCATTAACGGATCATCAGGATTTGGATTACAAAGTAAAGATTGCACCGCGACAATCAAGTTTTCTAAACTGATCGTCGGCCTCCATCCACCGTTTGGTGGCATTTTTAAAAGGTCCATACATATTCTACCTTGAGTATCGATGTTAGGATGATACACCGGTGTAACAAACTTCAATCTCGGTGGTACAAATGGATATCGACTGGGTATCTCTAGATCTAATTTAAAGAGCGATCCCGCAAATAGACTACCATGAGGGCCAATTATATTTACTGATAAATAATTAAGCTTGTCGGAAGTGTAGCAACTTATTCCTTCGGGAGGATGCTCCAACAAACGCTTTATTTCTCTATTTAATCGCTGTGACTTCTGCATATTTTATTCTTTTCACTCCCTGAAACAACGGATCAATGTGCAATGTACGCAAAAAAATTCTATCGTTGGCAATGCCATTATTCTTTTAAGCTTTAGACAACAATGTTTTTGAATTTTTGTTTAATAAACATAACCTTCAAATAAGCTATTATTCACCTATTTGACACTTACTTTTTACCTGCGGTCCACTAACAATAACGCTCACCCATAACAATATTTAATCCAAATTAACAAATACCGCTACACTTAGTACGGCATAATTTTTATTTAATACGTCCGCAGGGACTTAGTTTAATGGTAACTCACTTTTTAAAGTTATATTATTATAAATTATATTTGAAAGTCTCTGCAAGTTGCGTGTTAAAAGTGATGTGATCAGCGCTCCTTGTGCCTAATTTCCCAACTAATGCAATAACAGCAACCGAATCCTGGATTTGGAAATAATTTCCGATTTCTCTATCGAGCCTGGCAAACGCAGATGTACATTTAAGAATGTGATATTCAATCGTTTGCTCAGGTAGTTTTTTCTTCGATTATATGACATGAGCTATAAAAATTTTATACATCATAATCTTACAATTCGTTAACTAAACTTAAGATTCAAGTTTAATAATTAGATATAGAATGGATATTATATATATATATATATATATATATGTATATATATATATATATATATATATACTTATTTCAATAAAATGCCAATCTCATTGTTTGTTAATGTTTGAATAATAATAGATATCAGTCTTCGGTAAAGAATCGTTAGAAATGCTGCTTGCTTTTATAGAACAAATATACAATTTGAAATATGGTCGTTTACTCGTTTGCACTCGTAGCCATTGGACGCGACTGACATTTTATCAAATTCATTACGATATTCTGTCTGATTAGCATATGTGCTAAAATTTAGTTGCGAATGTTTGTCCGAACTAGCGACTATACGAATAGCTTTACACCCCAATAATGAAAATTTAAATAAACAACATGAATTAATGTAGCATTATGTGCACTGGTAAGTATCTGCTTAGTCGCTCGTCTACGCGTACTTACTTTTATCTAGTCAGCATTCATACTAAGCAACTTTTAGATAATAAGGTCACCGATCCTCCATTATAATTCGATAACGAGTACTAATATTATAAGCTTACTTGTTTGTATTTAAAATTATTAGTAAGATTAATGCAGTTAAGCTATCCTAGTTGAATAAAAATTAAATAATTATTGTCGCATGAATTTTATAGAAAGTACCTGGGAAAGATAAAATCTGATCCTTTGACTCAACGATAATTAAATACACGATGTTGATTATTCGCCGATACCTTATTCCATTTGTGAATATATATAAAATTTGTTTTCGCGTTTATCATTAGTTTTTATGATAACTATGTTCCATGACAATTAATGAAATCCAAATCAATAAATTCAAATTAATAAAAGTAAATGTTCCTTAATCTCACCTGCTAATAACAAACTTGATTAGTAAATGAAGATCTATTTAATAAATTTGTTTACCAGTCAAGGTTAATCGGATATTCTTGATTTAGAAATAAAACCGTTTAAAAAATTATATCATTCTTAATAAAGACAATTTAGATTATCTTAAGCTATTAATGTAATGAGTAATAAATTTTACCTAAACATTATCTAATATGTTGGGGAAGTATATATCATTAAATTTAATACTTCGTCAGCTGTAGAGTATTTGATTTCATCATGAGATACCTGTAAAGCATAAAATTTCATTCGTTTAATTTCAATTCAGCTTGATACATCGAGTAGATATAGAAAAAAAAAAATCTATATTTTGCAATTTTTTTTCTTCTGTTTGGCTTTGTTTCTATTGTATATTTACAATTTTTATCGATATACTTTATAATCATCTTGAGGTATAATGTTTTTATATTAAATTTAAAGAGCCTAACTCGTAGCTTACTATGTATTAATTTCAAAGTTTTCCGCAGCTCGTAGGTTGATATCATAAATACAAACAAATAAAATCAAAATGACTTTTTATATAAGCTATTGATCGTAAATTTATAACACGCTGGACGAATCTGATAAACCTGGAACATAATATTCTTATTTTATCAGATGCAGTGACGAGGTATAGTAACATGGAATAAAGCCACAAGTGGTATATGACACTTTTCTCCTTAAGTTGACATGTACAAACATTCGATAAATGAGCGTTGGTAGGCAGGAGGTATTACAATTAAAATTATTATTAAAAAAATATATACTCCCTTTGCATCAAAAGTTTAAGTGTTTTGAAAGAAAGTAAAAAATATTTTGATAATTTCCACGGAGGATTTATTATTACAAGATAAAGTATATCGACAACATATCGCATGCCCACTATTTTTCAACCTAATAAGGAATTACTATCGTTGATATATCCCTTATGAAATATGAAAAACATTTCCTTAACACATTGTATTTATAGTTCTGAAATTAATTTATTGTCATAAATGCTTAATAATTATTATCAAAGACAAATAATATTCATAGTTCATAAGCAACAATCGTTACTATAAGAAACATCTCAAATACATTGTTATATACGAAGAAATCATACATATATATATATATATATATATGGCACGATTGCTGACGCGTTTGAATCTAGAGAACAATCAATGTCGTACAAAATAAGAAACTTTACAAGAGTTTAATCGTATGCAATAGTGCAAATGAAAAATTTCTTCATTCAATGAAGAATCATGATAATCGGCATTCGTATAGAATTCTAAAATCAACGATGAAAGTTCAATGTAACATTATAACGATTTGGCGAAACACGCTTGTCTCGTGAATGTCATTAGTTTGTAGTTTAATAAACGTCGATTTAAGATTCATTCGATCGCTTGACACATATAAAAGCCATATATTAGTCATTGAATGAAAAGAGAAAAAAAAAGCAAAAACAATGACACTTAATTGTCTGTGGCGGTGATTTAAATGCATCCATTCCCACGTGCAAAAACATAATTTTCATCGTTCGCATCAGTCGTTTCGTTTGAAAGAAAGTATCAATGGAGAAATTAGCCTCGGAATAATGTTTTATCAATCGATTAAAAACATCACGATGTGGCATTCGGTATTTTTGCATTATTCAAAGTTCGCAATCTCATCGAGTCATTCGATTGGTCGCTCAATTTGTAAGCGAATGAAATTAAATTGAAAACCGCCTTCTTTCCAACATCAAATCAATGGATATGCATAACGAGTTGCGACGTCGTTATTACATTGTAATCGAGGCTCGCTGATAAAGCAGACGGGAGTAGTCGAATGAAATTACTCCGACAGCTGACGACCATTTCCTCTTTATAATCGTATAAAATCGGTGAGGCCCTGACAGCGACTTGCCTAAGGGAGGCGAGCAGTTTTAGTTGAAAATTTGTTTGCACGAGCATCGGGTCGCGGCTCGCCCTATTTCGGCCGTCACTCCTCCAACTCCCGATAAATCAACGAAATTTTTACTGGCGAACGAAGCGGCGCCAAGGAGCAGCATCTGCTCGCGTGGGACACGGCCGAAAAACTTGCCCCATTTAGTGGTAAATTTTCATGGGTCTCGAGACCAGCATGAAAACGTGACGAGCGGCAAGCGATGACATTGTTGGAGTCCGCATTCCTGGGCTCCGATCGCCTGCCCCGATTTCACGCAACGGTTGTCCCCGGGTGGCTCGAGCCGCCGAGTCAAGTCAAGGAAGGAGTCATCGTCGCGTCGTTGCGATCGTCGGCGGGTGGAGGGGCGTCAGCGGCGAACGTATGCGCGTGCGCGCCTCCGCGCGGGAGCAATCGCGCGGCCTCTCGAGAGGCAGAGAGTGGGTGAATGAGAGAGAGAGAGTGAGTGAGAGAGCGAGTGAGAGATAGGGCGAGAGAGAGAGAGAGAGAGAGAGAGAGTGAGTGAGAGAGAGGAAGGGAGAGAGGAAGGGAGAGAAAGAGT